GATGACAACTGTTTCAGTCTACTGATTCCTAGAAACTCTCTCTGAACCATCTGGGAGCTTATAACTTTGAGTCTATATAGAATGTTGCTTGAGTGTACCTTCAGATGTACTGTATTTGGTTGCATTAAATACGTGCTTTCATATCACTTCTCAGTTGAGCCCCTGTGTAGATACTCCCCCTTTGTATCATTCTACAACAGTGCTTCTTTACTTTGAATAAATGCTAAGTTTATTGGGTAAGACTTCAACCAAGAAAAGATCTACGCTTCTTAAAAATGCACAAACCACCCTTTCTGTTAAAGAATTCAGTGGTGTCTGTGTCCTCTACATCATTTTGTTTCTGTGTTGTTAGTTAATCTTTTTTTGCTTTGAACATAGTTTATTAGGACAGACCATAATTGTCATATTAGGTTAAATCTATACTTGTGTATTTTATAAAAGTACAACATAAACAGATTATGCAGTCCTAAATCTTAAGAGGTTGGGTCTATCAGCTTCGCACCAGGAGACTCCCCATCAGCAAACTTCTGTTAATGAGATTTTTCTGCCAGTGGAAGGCTGAGAGATGACTTGTGCTGATTTCTCATCTCCACTATAGCTCCATCTGCTCCTTGAAGAGCTTCTCTGTAAGATTGGAAACCTCTGGAGCAGTTAGGGAGGTGGCACAACACACTCCAGAGGAAGTGTAATTGGCAAGTTGCCCCCACTTCCACTAGTGAGAAGCATTTATGGGATCAGAGCTCCTAATATGAATGAAAGGGGCCCCTTCAGATTATTGAAGGAAATCTGGATCCATCCCACGGGTATCGTTTGTGTCAACTCTGGGTGTAACTGGGTAGTCAAAGTGTCTGGGTGGGGATCAGGCTAGATCATGCTGAATGAGGTCATGTCTGGGTGCAATATGCCATTTGGGGTGTTTTTGCATCCATATCATCCACACTAAAGAAAAACAATAACCCCTGACAAGGATCCCAAAATGTGCAGGTAGGTATGGATCTGGAATAGGCTGACTTACAATGGCCTGTATATCATGTGGTCACTGGGAAAAAGACTGAGCTAGCCCATCCCCAGAACAGACCAAACGACTCAACAAATTCCTGTCCAGTCACATCCTCTGTGCATTGTGTAAGGGGGGGAAAAACCCTACACTTTTCCTCTTTTGAAACAGGTTTTCAATGGCTGAGTACACAGGAATACATTTCAAGGAACCACTCGAAAAAGAGAACTAAGAATAAAATAATAATGCTTTCTGTATAGTTGAGAAGTCTGTTATAACAAAAATAAGCATCTCTAAGATGCTGAAAGAAAAAATATGCAACATTGAAACATTCCAAGTATATATGTCTTTACCAAATACTTTCAGTCATGGAATTTCACTCTGCAAGCACAGTAGCAGATTCTCTGATAAAACATACTGGTAATAATCACTGTGTTTCCACAATTACTTTGGTTCTCAAATTTGATGAGAACAAATAGGGGTGAGACAAGTCCTTTAACAAATGTCTTGTTCTCAATGATTTTCTGTGTTTCACTATGCTGAGTTTCTTTGATGAGAATTCCTCCTGCACCAGCAAGATTTCCTGGCTTCTTGTTAAAATGAAACTCTTAGGTTTCATTTTCTTGTTTATTTTATTTTATTTTATTTGAGTTTAGTTATTTTCTTCACTGAACAACTGAATTTTGCACAGCTGGATGCCCTTTTCAGTTAATCCTGCACTGGAAAGATGCCATTCTGAGTAGGCCTTCCTGTATCATATTCCCTGTTTACTTCAGAGGAAAAAAATGACCAGAAAATTGTTGAGATTTCCCTCCTCTAAACATAAACAAACACATGATGTAGAGAAATAGTGCTGTGAGGACATATTTTTCTTTCCTTCTGTTTCTCTCTCAGACCAAGAGACTGCAAGATCGTTACAAGCAACATAGCTTGAGAAACTGGATTTCTTGAGTCAGATATTAAGGTTAACTATAGTATCTACACCACTGGTTTGGTTCTCAGATTTCTAGTATATTTCCTTGCTTCATCAGACACAGTCCATGCAAGATAACTAATTTATTACACTACTGTTTAATCAGAGGAGATATCTATGTTGAACCAATAATGAGCAATAAATTTTTTTTTAGCATTCCCACTTTAGGTTTATAGATTTGTTGGGTTGTCAGACACTGTCTAAAGGGAATCTAAAATACCAGAGGAGTCAATTAAGTTTTATAAGACTTATTAGACTCCATTTAGAACACAGTTTTATAAGACTTCATTTAATATAAAGGTACAAGAAAATATAAAGAGAATAGATCTACATTGTCAGTTCTCACCAAGACATTGTATGTACTTAGAAAAATAGCCAATAATAGGGCTTGATCATAGGTGGTCTCCCAGAATCATGAAAGAACAAGACCATAGAAAGATGAAATATGACATCTGCAAAATTACCCCTCCCCATTTATTTCCTGGACATTGCCTTCTGAAGGCATTCAACTCAACCCCCCAATTAAAATAATGACATAGTGTTACTTGTGCAGAAATCTATATAAGTATGCCAGTATCTTAATGATTATTTGAGCAAAGCCCAATATGGGCACAGCCCACCCCCAGGACTAGTGGAAATACTGATCACTCCTCCTCCAGAATGACCAGTTAAGGCTGGCCTTGAAGCATTAAAACAACTCTTTATTTTCATTATTACTGAGAAATCTGAAATATACAGTAGGTGCAGTCTTGAAACTGTTAATGCCATGGAAATAAAGTTGCAAATACTAGTGATTTCCCTCCCTTCTCAGTCGTAGTGTGACTTTTGGCCAGTCTAACTACTGTAGAGATTTCCGACTAACTCCTTAGAAGATATGGGCACAGAGCACTTTGTGCCATGTCATCTATGTCACTGGCACGGCATCACAGGTACCATATGTTCACTTTCCCTACCCCTAGACCAGCTCCCCCACTGACCTGCCGACACGTGCTGCTCCTCCCTTCCCTGTTTGCACAATCTTCTATTCTAGCAGGAGCACTGGCATCCTTTCTCCACTTCATCCAGTAGCTGCCCACTCAGACAAGGAGAGGTGAGGCAGGGATTCCTGCAGCACAGCCTGTGAGTGGACAGCTGCTAGAGGAGGCAAAGAAGGGAAATTCCGGCTCCTGCCAAAATAGAAGATCATGTGATGGGGAGGGAAGGAGCACATTCCGGCTCCTGCCAAAATAGAAGATCACGTGATGGGGAGGGAAGGAGCAGTGTATGCCAGCAGGTCAGTGAGGGAGCTGGCCAGGGGGGCAATGAATGTGCCATGCCAACAATTTAGATACGAAGTGCTTTGTGACATCTCTACTCGTTAGTGTGAATTTTTAGAGCAGATATGGGGTGAATTCAGTATTTATATAAACTGAGCATTCTGTATTTCCTTTTGAAAAAGGAAAGCAATTGGTTACAACCTAGTGATTTGAATACCTTTTGTATCTTTTTCTTCTTTTCTGCAACTTGCACTATAGATATATAATTTAAAAATATGTTTAATTCCCCTTCAGCTTGCACATGCCTTTAATCTCTAACCACTTCAGCTGAGACGAGACAGACTTAATGCGAATGTGTTCTTAAAGTCATATTATCTAATAAAGTGGGGGAAATAGCTCAACAAACTTTGCATTGAAGTGGAAAAAAGAAAAGATTGTTGGGTCTAAAAATGTAGAATCATTTTTTAAAAATCTATAGAAAATTATTTTCAAAAGACATTGGACAAATTTGGAGCTTCATTGAATGAGTGTTGTAATTATGCTTTGATTGTATGTGTTTCTGTTTTTATTTCCCTCCATAAGAAGAGGTTTAAACAAGAAGTTAATTACTATGGCAATAGTGTGATGCAG